GGTCAACTTTATCTGTTTTTATTATACATTTCTTACCTGTTTTAGTCAAGACTTGTCCTGAGACCACATCAGACTCTTCTTCTTCTTGCTTCAAAGAAGACTGCAGATAAAAATCATTGTTTGATTCCTGCAAAGGGGTGATAAAAATAATTTATACAGGCTACACACAGAGGAATAAATTTTTTGGTGCTACCAAAATTCACACGCACCTCTTGTTTGACAAGTACAAATGCCATCTTAGAATTGCTGTCTCCATTACTGACATAGTTATGCTCCTGCCAAGTACAGCCCATAAAGTTATGGGTGCCTTGTTGTTCTTGGTTTTGCTGATCTTGGTTTTGTAGTGCACTCTCTACCAAAGGCTGACATTGCTCCACCAGAATTGTGCGGTAAGGAATGTCTGCAATTATAAAAATGAAACAGTACAGATGGAAAAAGTCAGCTCAAAAAAAACATCCAATATGTAAATAGATTTTTTTTAAATATTTTACTCTGCCCCTCGCACAGTGATTGCTGGACATGGGCACTGGTGAACCCCGTGACCCAAAATGGAAGAAGCGGGTAAAAGACAATGGATGGATGGATTTTACTTATTTAACGCATTACCTTGTAAGCTATAACAAGAGATTAACCAAAATAATTTTTATTTTCACTGCACTAAAGAAGATTGTGAAGAGAAAGTGCTATGTGCTGTCATTCTGTATTCCCATACAATGACAAAATGTGTCCAAGTGGAGCAATAGGCAACTACGCAAGTGCTCAGGTAGCAGTAAGGGAATAAACATCTTGCTCAAGGACATCACAACAAATGGGAATGGATTGGAATCAAACCTGTAACTTTCCAGTTTCAAGTCATCTGCCCTACGACTACATGCAAGTTAACCTGTACGATGTATATCACAAATTGTATACATTACATTTTGTAAAATGCATGAACTGCGCAATCCTAATGTGCATGTGCCAACCAGGCCCATTCTACACAGATCTGAGATGAAACTCCAGCTTGGCCACCAATGCCAATTGATGCAAAAATGATTATTGTTAGCAGTAGGAATTATTTTTTTTCAGGAAATAAAAAATATTGTCTGGTCCTTTTTAAGTGATATTCTGTCAGTTATCAAAATTATTATCTCAGCCGCTGTGATATCGGTCGTTGAGCATGATGCAGAAATACCCTTCAAATTTATGACTATTCATCTTCATCAAGGGAAAATCAACACTTATTTTACTGCTTAAAAAAAAAAAAGTTGTAAATATTTGTTCCACAAAACAAACTAATCAGTCTTTTAGAGCAGTCTCAGTCTGAAAAAAAGAAAAAGAAAAAACTAATTTAAATGACTTTTTTTTAATTATTTCATTTTAACTAGAGTATTTTGTAAAATAAATAAATTTAAAAAAGTAAAAATAAAATAAATAAATACTCTACATTTCTTTAATTTTTTTAATTTACAAAATATTTATTTTATGGTGATTTTTTTTTTTTTTGGGTGGGGGGGTGGGTAGAGAATGTATTTTCTTCAATTAGTACACCTTTTGGGTAAACATCCACATCCTCCTCTGTTCTCCAAAGCTCAGAACTGATGGTTCATTTCATTCTGTTGGCTCAGTCAGAGGGGTTCTGGACCTGCTGACTAAACTCTAAATTACACCCCAACTATAAAACTCAAACACACTAAACAGCATACACAATATTACTCTGTTTGTGCCGGGGGACTGGATCTTTGGGATGAACCAGTCTTTGCCGTAATGTATTTTGGGGTTTAAAAGCCACTGGGACGTTGCATTTAAAAAAAATAAACATCTCCGTTTCTCTGAAACTCCTGCAACATACGGAATGACCACTGGTCTGGGTTCCTCCTTTTCACCTGATGGCTGGCTGGAGTCCTGTTTGAGTTTTTTCTCTGCTTTCAGGAAGGCCC